TCCCTCAACCAACATCTTGTCCTACTAAGGAATATAAAATGAACACAGAAAGTTATTCGACCCAATAATAGTTACTCCATATGACTGCACATTGTACATCGCATTTATCTACCTGTTCTCTCGTCCATATCCTCACTCGTCTCGTACCATCGTGATGTTTAGAAACACTTATAAAATCAAAGAAAAATTGTCGTGTTATTTATTTTTTAACATTTTAAGCATGCGAAGGCAAAAGGGTCAGGCCACAATGGGGTGGTCTGTGGAGGTTTTCAAGAGCACGAGGACAGGAGACATGGGAAAGACCGCCACTCAATTTGGCTAAAATGCTGGCATCTTTGTTTTGATCGCCCTTGGGTTTTAATCCCTTTCCATCATAAACCCTTCTTTATATATATACAACACAAAGAACGACTCTTTTCAATACAATACCTACACATTATTGTTTTATTTTTTCCCTGAAATATCTTACGCATTATTGTTAATCACAAAGAGGAGGACTATCCTTCAATCATCTAATAATTTGCCACATTCTTTTCTAAACATTTTCACATGGCTTCCTTCATTTCCGCTTCAGCTGCCCCATCAGCCACCTTCCTCTGCACTGTTCCTAAAGCAAAATTTGCCATCAGGCAAACAAGTTTCTCCAGCACTGTAAGCTCCACGATCTCCATTCACTAATTACTGCTTAATTATTAGCACTAATTGCTGATCTTTGCCATTAATCTGATTTCGAGATCTTTTTGCTTGTTGCCTTAATTATTGCAGTGTGGTCCATCAGCAAGTGGGCTAAGACTTGTGCCTAAGATTCAAATCTCAAAGGCAGCAACAAAATCATCTCCAATTTCTCGTAGTCTCAAAACCAGAATTTCATGCTCAGCTGTAGGTTTTAACTAATTGCTACTATTAATCGCCTAGCTTAAGTGCTTAACACCTCCCAACAGTTAAATAACCTGAGCACTGATCGTATATACAACCGCTTTTCTTCCCCAGGCTCAACCAGAAACTCTAGAAATTGTCCAGAATACAATTGCAAAACAACTGTCCATTGACGAGGCCACCGTGACACCTCAAACCAAATTTGCTGACTTAGGTGCAGATTCTCTTGATACCGTAAGTTCAAATTACAATTTGATGGCAAAAATCTTGAAAAACCAATATGTATTTCATTATATATTATATATGTCTTTTTGAATTGAATAGTTTCTTGTAGCTATCTGAGTTGAGCTGGTAAGACCGTTGACCTGGACAGCAAACATGTTGCAATTGAATCTCCAATCAGTTCCTTCAAAGGGGGGGGAAAAAGTCCGATAGATTCTGACTTTTTATTGTTGATGAAACGTGAACAGGTTGAAATTATGATGGCCCTGGAAGAGAAATTTGGAGTGTCAATTGGAGAAAGTGGGGCTGAAAACGTTGCAACTGTTCAAGATGCAGCTGATTTGATTGAGAAAGTGAAGGCAGCTTCAGCGTAGGCTAAATCAAGATATGTTTTTCACTTTTAGAAGCCAACAAAAGTGCGGGTAGTGTCTTTGCTGTTTGATGCAGATTGCGGATGGTTTTGTTTTTTCTTTCTTCGGCCCAGCGCTGGGATTTGGCTGAAATCCAGATCCCATGCAGAGATGAATGATGTACTAGTAACTTAGGGAATTCTTCCATCATGTTTCTTTTCCCAGTTCAGGATTACAAAATAAACCCAAGCCTCTTTTGGAATCTCTCTCAATCTTCTTCAACACTACGTAGAGTATTGCATTTCCCAGTCCAACAAGAACGGCAAAATCCCACTCTACAGCAGATTTGCTTCACTAGCATAAAAGTGTGAGGATATATTATTGTTTAGAAGCAAGAAAATAGCAATAGCATTTCTGGTTTAACAAAGTCTAAAGTAAATTATTTTCACAAGCAATATTAATCTACGAGGCTGTTACTTTTATTACTACCCTTGAGGGAATTTTTAAGTGCATTTGCTGTTCGAATAGAATTTATGTGTCGTCATAGACTCATAGCAATAATACATGTAGTAAAACAAAATGAGTGCATGTGATGATATAGGTTCTTTTTCGATATTTTGGTTTCTTTTATCCGGTAACCGATTAAAACATAGCTTGTTTTAGAAGGTCTAACTATCTAGTTTTTTTAAAAGAAAAAGAAAAAAAAAAGAAAAAGAAAAATTGATGGAGCAATGTCACTAAAAAGTTTTTCCATTCAAGATGTTGTGAAGATAAAATTTCCACTGTTGTGGTTGGTACTGGACACTTTATTCTTGCAACATTAAGTTACAGTTAGAGTGTGTTTGATAATTTAACTTAACGCTGAAAAATTAATTTATTTAGAATTTTTTATTCAGCATATTTGATAACTGAATTGTATGACTGCTTAATTTGTGTACAAAGTTTTAAGTGAAAATTTTTTATTCAATCTTCTGAAATCTGAATAGATCATACATATCACACTTTCCAGACATGTAACACACTCTTATACATGTTCTTGCACAAAATAATACATTTGCCTTTGTTGTGTCCGACACACACAAAGACACTCACTTAAATATTATTTTTAAATTCTATAATTATTTTCTCTCACAATATTTTTCTTTCTCTCCAATATACAATAAAAGAATTTTTTTTAAATGAAACTATAATATTTGTACGATATTTCAATTCAATATGAATTAGTTATCAAACACGTATAACTTTATTAATTCAGTAACTCCATACTTTTAACACTTAATTTTCAGACTCAAAATTTAGATTTCAAACTTCGACCTCACTAACTGAATAAACAAAAAAGAAACATTCAATTACACTATATAGAATACTTTTATCAATTGCTCAAGGATTTTTTTGTTAATTTCTCCAATCATGGTTTCATGTTACCACCAATTTGGGAACATGAATTAGGATTAATTGCACTTTACCTTTCAAAGTTCATGAGAACACTTCTATCAGGCAACTGTTTGGCAAATCAACTTTTTTGTATTTGTTTAAAATTTTACTGTAACAAATTGTAAAATTGTAAGAAAACTTTTTGAGGTATGTAAAAACTTTTCTTTTTATAAAAAAAAAAAAGAAACTTTCCTCTTGATTTTTCCGTTTCTTTCTTTTCCTATCCTTTTCCCCCACCCCACCGTTCTTCTTCTCCATTCCTCCTAGCACCGGCGTAGTTGCCGACAAGACCAGTTTCTCTTTTCTTTTCCCCTCATTTATTCTCTCTCTCCCTCGCCACTTCCTCCTTTCTCCCCTCTTCTCCTCTCTTCCTCTCCGTCTCCCTTACCCTCTCCCTCTTTCTCCCACCATCTCCCCTTCCTCCCTCTCCCTTCTCTCGCACCAGATTGCGCATGGGGGAGGGGGAGGGGGAGGGGGAGGGTGGTGGGGGAGAGTGGGGAAAAGGGGAGAGGAGGAGAAAAGGAAAGGAGAAAGGAGAAAGGAGAAAGGAGAAAGGAGGAAAGAGAGAAAAAAAATGGTGGCAGCTGGGGTTGTGGGTTGAGGTGGGGGAGAAAGAAAAAGAATAGAAATAAGGGAATTTTTTGTGTATTTTTGGGTATTGTAAAGTGTGTGTTTTTACAATTTTGAAAAGTTATTTGAGATTGTTATAATTAAAGTTGTTAAAAAATTTATAGGAGAAAAACTTGGCAAAAAAATCGTTTGCCAAACAGGGCCTTACTAAAGTAAAACAATATAAGCAAAATTATCCTATAATGTTGCGCTGTTTGACAAAACACAAGTATTTTTTTTATATGACTGTCGAATTACAGCCAAGCTGCACGTAACATGCATTTGAGAATAACACTTTTTTTTTTTAATGAAATTTGCGGTTGGACAATTTCTAATCATTCGCTAATGACATTTACTTTTTATAATAAAAAAGAGTACTATTTTTTTTCACGGTGGATTAATCGAGGGCTCAATTTTAAAAACTTTAGCATAAATAATGAGTTGGTTATTTTTCATGAAATCAGAAATTTAGTTTTTTAGATCCTAATTTAAGAAAATATATAGATTTTTTTTTTCTTTTTTGCAGATACTAATAATTCAAGAAGTTTCTTCAGATACTATTTTTATCTACACCAGAACTAGGCCTGTCAATCGGGCCTAATGAGTCGGGCTTTGATGAGCTCAAGTTCAGCTCATTTAATTTGAATCATTTTCAGGCTTCGGGCTATGAGTTTCGGGTTCGTAAATGTGAAGCTCATACTCAACTCACATAATATTCGGGTTGTGAACCTTAATCGGGTTTAGTCCAAGCTCACTTATTACTCCTTAATTTTCTTAATTTAATTACTATAACTATTAAGTTGTAAAACTAATTTAATATTTACAAGACTATAATATTAAAACTAAACATGAACAAATAATAGTTCTTAAAACGTATATAAACCAAAAATTTTTCAACAATATTTATATTTAATCCATTCAAAATGCATGAAAAATAGTAATAAAACATGCGATCATAAGCCAATACATCTTTAAAAGTTGAAACTTTTTTTATAATCTTGTGATTTAAATCCAAATATGCTTGATGATTTTTGTGTTTGTAGACAAAAAAAAATCAACCAATATTATGCCAATACAAAAATTTACTCAAGCAATAAGAAAAATTAGAGATTTAGTTATGCATTACCAATATTGGCTCTCAAGAAAGCTCATGAAAGAGTTTTTAGATGTATTTTTGTGTTTTGTAATTTATGTATATATTTAGTATTTAGTAATAATATATTTGGATATATAATTATACATAATATCAAAATATAAATATTATATATATAGGTAATTAAAGGGCCGGGCCTATATCGGGTTTGAGCCTAATAAGGCTCAAGCTCGGCTCATATTTAATTCGGGCCTAATTTGTAGGCACTTCTCAGACCGGCTCACTAAATGATCGGGTTCATCGGGCTTTCTGTCGGGTCGAGCGAGCCGAGCTCAGGCTGGCCCAGCCTCATTGACAGTCCTGACCAGAAACAGAATCATGAAAAATTTAAAAAAAGAAAAAGGCAAAACATGAATGCTGAATCCTCGTTGGCTCTGAGTCTCTGACAATGATGATTCATGCACCCACCCAGCAATGAGCAACCCAAACATTAATCCCTTGCCAGCTCCCACGATGTCTCTCTAAACTCTCCTCCCGTCTTCTGGGTCTCACTCAAGATTCAAAAATCCAATCCAACATCAAAATCCTTGATTTTGTGGAAATTTTACAAGAATTAATCAGAGATACTTAATATATAGCAGAAAACGGGAAAAAGGGGGAATTTTTCCCTTTTTTTTTTAATTTTATTTGCATCATGTTATCAAATTTAGACCACAACATCTCCAGCTCCACAGTTGAATCCCGGCCACTGGAACCCTCACCGGCCCCCGCACTGGAGCCACGCCCACCAACATCTTCCGATGAAGACTTCTTCTCCTCAACCTCCATAGCCTCCTCCTCTTCCTCAGAAGACATCCAGACCAACCACTCTTCACCACCGCTTCCGCCCGCGGCACCGCCACCGCCGCAGATCCCCATCTCTTGGCCGGCAAGTGGGGCTATTTCTCGAGAATGGGTCAACGAGTTAATGAATGCGTTTGAATGGGCTTCGAGAGCTGTTCCTCCGCAGGAGTTTCCTTCTCTTCTTCCGGTTGAGGTATTCGATCGGCTAATCCTGTCCGCCTCTAAAATTTTGCATAAAGAGAAAAATTGCGTGAGTATTGAGGGTGAAGAATTAGGGCGGGTGTCAAAGGTTGTGGTGGTCGGAGACTTGCATGGACAGTTGCATGATGTGTTGTTTTTACTGAAGGATGCCGGATATCCGGGTGAAGATAGAATTTTTGTGTTTAACGGGGATTATGTTGATAGAGGAGCTTGGGGTCTTGAGACTTTCTTGCTCCTCCTTGCATGGAAGGTAAAATACATAGATGTTCATCCTTTTTATGTTCTTGGCATATTGTTACTTTAGCAGTTTTGAGCTTTCATTTTTGCATTCTTCAATGCTAATCATATACTGTCTTTTGAGTTTGAGGTTTTGCTTTCGGATTTTTGTAGTTTTGAGCTTAAGTTTTGTCCCTTTTTCTCGTACAATGGAAAGGGTAACTTTGAATGCTGATCATAAAGTAGTTATCTTTTTATCACTAGGTGAAAGCATTACATTTTGGAAGGTGAGTTGGATTTCAACAGTAAATTGAACTAGCTTGTTTGCACCAACAGTGGTAAACTTAGGTCATGTATCATAGACAAGGTGCAAAGTGGGAAATTCATTTATTTCTGTATGGTTCTTTTTGACTTGGTAGATTCATATATGAGAGCTAAATGGTAAATATTCGTGCTTTTTCGCATGAACTAATAGTGTTTCTCATGTTTCGAGTTCATGCTTGTTACCACAACTTTTTCTTATAAAAGTATTATGTTTAATGATGCATGTTTAATAATGCTTTGCTCGATTGTTTTACAGAGTTTTGTTGTCGCGTCAATGACTTTGTACGGAAAACTTTAGTTTCATTAATGACCTATGTTTTTCTTTAGGTGATTTTGCCACACAGGGTATTTCTTCTTCGTGGAAACCATGAATCCAAGTATTGTACTTCAGTGTATGGGTTTGAGAAGGAGGTATCATGTAAGTATGGAGATAAAGGAAAACATGTCTACCGCAAGTGTTTAGGATGTTTTGAGGGTCTTCCTCTTGCTTCCATCATTGCTGGGCGTGTTTACACTGCACATGGTGGGATTTTTCGCAGTATTCCAAGTACTCCTTCAAAAAGATACAAAGGCAAGAAGAACCGTAAAGTAATTGTCGACCCCAACTCAAATGCATTATCTCTTGGTTCATTTGAAGAGCTATCTAAAGCTAGGAGATCTGTTCTTGATCCTCCTTGGGAAGGTCAAAACTTGATTCCCGGTGATGTTCTTTGGTCAGATCCATCCATGGATCCAGGTCTTTCCCCTAACAAAGAACGAGGCATTGGTCTTTTATGGGGTCCAGACTGTACGGAAGAATTTCTGAAAAAGTTTGACCTAAAGGTAATTTATGGATGATTATTTCTTCCTTTTCTGCAATCATATCATGTTAATCTTATGCTGTTTGGCAGCTTATATAGATTTTCTTCATATGGCAATCATGGCATTTTATCTTTTGTAGATTCAAGATATGATTGCCTGTTTACTGTAGATCATCAGAGTACAGCTTTTGCTTCTTAGGCTTTTACAGGATGATGATCAAATTGCATATGATTTTCTCCACCCACATTAGTAATATTTTGATATAAGAATGTAGTAGTTGATGCAAAGTGTTTGAAGTTGCATTTTGATCGTTTGACTTGATAATGAATATTATTTAACTTGATGTACTCACATTCATCATAGTCTGTCTTTTTGTCCATTTTGGACTTTGAGCCTGACATTCTGACCCTTGACAATTGTTGGTTTATTGACAGATCTGAAGTATAAGTGTGTCTTTTATTTCACATTTCGTCGACGTCTTTGCTTTGATTCTTTGTTGGCATTATGAGCTTGATAATATGACCCTTAAGTATTGGTGTCTGGACAGCTCTGCATGACAATGTTTATGGATATTCTATCCTGTCTCTTCGACATGCTTCCTTTGCCTTTCTACCTTGTCACAACAACCTCTGTTGGAGTCCAATGTCTTGGAACATTATTAGGGTCACTTCAACTGCTCATTCCTATGATAAAATTGTAGGTGGCAAGATTTATGAGTGGTAATGTTGTTACTATTCAATTGTTCTCGAATGGTTCCATTCAATGGTATAAAAGATCACCATATAACAAAATAATCAATTAAAAAGATTTCGAATTTCATTTAGGTTTGCTAGGATTGTATTCCTACCACTTTGCCTTTCAAAATATTCCTTGGGCCGTGCTAAATTAGAAGTTTGTTGAAAGACATGCTGGCATTAGATTTTTTCAAAAGAATATTTAGTTTCTCTGATTCCTCTCTCCACCTATTTCTGTCCCTCTCATGCAAAAGTGATTTGACATCGTGTCTCGTTGGAAATCTAACTTGGGTCATGCGTTTTGCTACCTTAGTTAATCATCAGATCACATGAGGGTCCTGATGCCAGGGAAAAGAGGCCTGGACTAGGACAAATGAATGAAGGGTACACCATAGATCATGTTGTAGACTCTGGGAAGCTGATTACAGTCTTTAGTGCACCAGACTATCCACAATTTCAGGTAAATTATTAATTTTTTGTATTTCCTTTTTATCCCCGTAAATGTGTTATGGTTCTGTAGTTAAGCATTTAGATTGGTCCAATATTGATACTTTTTCTATCTGGTGCTTTTTTCTTCCCCTAACTTTTTGGATCATGGAATTCCTTGTTCAGTACAGATGATGGAATTGTGATGAAATCAATATCTGTGCACACCAAGACTGGAATATAAGCAAGCACTTGAATACCTTGTCATACTTGACCAAATATCAAATTTAGTTGAGCTGCTTTAGTAAGTAAGATGATATGCAAAAATTTCCTAAAATTCAGATATAGCTAAACCTCTTTTTGCAATTTCCTTTTGAGCATATATAGTGTTGTTGGGGCCATGATATTCATTGCAGGGAAGTCTGGGTGTTGAATTTGATCCAAGTACTACAAGAAGATTCTTTTAATTAGGTCTTGCAGAAATATTGATTATATTCTTGTCCTTCATTGTGTAGTTAGTAAACTGAAATTGGTTAGATAAACGGAATTGGTTTGTCGTTGCCGCAAAAATTTTGGACTATCAGAATCCATTTAAGAAGGTGCACATAAAGAACGATGTATTTTCTCATTTTAAAGACCATTAGCAGGACAAAGCAACACGTACAATACAAAATGCTTAACAGAATGATGGAGACATGCACATACACATGGTTCTCAGACATATTATTGACATTTAGACCAACTAGATATCAACTACTGATAATTGTGTCGGAATCTTTGATGTTCCTTTCCTAGAAATTTTTGTGCCAATGACATCCCTAAAAGAACTCATCTATGTGGTAATTTTCATAGGCCATGCATATGAAATAAATCTGCTTTGCCATCGAGAAATATGACTTAATTTCACATACGTTTTGTAAAGATAAAAATGCAATGAAGCATTGCTTTCTTCAACAACTATCACTGTAGGTTTCTAGGATCAGATAAACTTGAAGGAGTCTAAGCCCTTAAAAGGAATCTATGCCTCTTAAGTGTTGCACATTCTTATTAGTATGTCTCAAAGACTGTTGGTTTTATGAAGATGGTGCATGAAGCTGATATATGAGGAGGATGAAGAATTAACTTATTCTGTTGATGATTTTCCTTGCAGGCAACTGATGAAAGGTACCGGAATAAAGGAGCATATATTGTTCTTGAGCCCCCCGATTTTGACACCCCGGTTTTCCATACTTTTGATGCGATTACTCCTAGACCAGTGGTTAGAAATCTTTCCTAGTTACACTTCAAAAGAAGAAAGGATGTAGCGAATCTTCATTTTATATGTTTTGCTCTTAATGCTTAAGAAGTTGGCTCTTTACAATAGACAATGTTCCTACGAGGAATTTTAAACTTGTAGGGCATGCTCCATTGATAAATTTAGCTATAAGTTCCCTTATCTGTATAAGTTTTGTTTACAAAGCAAGAAATAGATATGTCTTAAAATGTATTAATTGTTGTGGCAGGTGAATCCCTATTATGACTATGAAGATGTGATTGATTCTGATGAAGAACTGGATATGGCATCGATGGTACCAGCTACATGAAGTTATCGACGAAATGCTATATAATTATATACCTTAGAACTACTTGGATATCTGTGCGTGTTTGAGTTAATGGTTCTTGTATTCTCTAATTACAGCAATTTTTTGTTTTCTGTGTAAATTTTCTTGGTTCAAGTTTCTGTATTGTCCTTTGCTCCAGGAAGCTTGCAGCCCCTTCCACTGTAGAATTTTGCATCGAGTTTCATATAGTGTAGATAGCAAATAGCTTGGAAAATTTTGTCAGAACTATCTATGATACTTGTATATGATGACATTCAGAGTCTTCTTTTGAATATTCTGGAGGTAGAATTTCTCTCATCCCTTTTTATTAATCATCTCTTGGTCTCTTTTCGGGGGATTGATGAATCCGTACTTCTGAGGTCTTCTGCGTTTTAATGTATGCATGAGGAATATCAAGAAACTTGAGAAGTTGCGAGGATGGATGACGTTGGCTTAAAGAATATCTGAAGAAAACAGAACTGAGGCATCATGCTTGCCGTGAATTTTGCCAATTTGGCAATTCTCTCTTTTGAGGTTTCAGTATGTCATCAGGAATCGTCATGTCTGTTAAATTCATTTGCATTTTGCTTTTGTTTTTGTTGCGGGATTTCTTTCAATGGGCTGTTCCCAAAATTAAGACTGTTGAACCATTGCATTCAAATTACCGTCCAAGGAAGGATGAAATTTCAGTGCCGTAATTCAGATCAAATTCACTTCTCAAGATGTGATAAACAAGTTATCACAATATTTAGAGAAACATCAAGTAGAAACAAAGAATAACAAATAAAAGAAAAGCTTTCTGTAAATCTAACTCGCCAACCCAGATAATTGCTGTTGCTATACACACCAATCCCTGTCCCGGCCGCCGGCCAGAATAAAGAAAAGATTAAAGCAAATTTGTGGTGTACATGACCTTGTGGTTGCTGAAAAGTCAAGGGGCCAGTTTTATATCATTTTAACCAGGGTGCTGCCAAAACTTGCTCTGACATGGTTGCTCCAGGATTTGCTACTACTGACAATTTCGATTTCCTTCAATTTTCGAAGTTAGTAGTACAAAACATATTTGCATGTTTCGTTGGAGTTCTACTTGATGTTCAATACCATCTGGGTCGCAGGTTCACCGTCGAGTTTTTTTGCGGGTTCAATCAAACAGTAAGGACTTTTCTTCTTCACTCCAGTGTCATGGCACTGAAGAAACACCGTTTATTAGTTGACATGGGGAAATTGTTTTTGCAACTATGTATATTTCAAGACTTGCACTTTGCATTTGCCTGCGTTTGATTTCCATAAGTATATTCTTTCCCAGTTTACTCTTGTATTTATGTTTAGCTAAAAAAAGCTTTTTCGGGGCTCCATGACTGCGAAGGAACCTTCATCTTTGCTTATCATGCTTCAGATACGAGTTATGCTTACTGGTCAATAAAACTGATGATCTGCATCTGAGGTTGATCTGAAAATCCTTTTTATTTTCTTTCTGTAGTATTTGAAAATGTTTTGTTTGGAAAATACCTTTTACAATTTCATGATTTTAATTCATGGTGCTTTTAGAATTGGTAAAATTTACCTGTTTTCCATTTAAACTTTTAATACTTAAGTCTTGTCATGTCACCAACTTAGTTTCCTGCTGCTGAAGGATTGCAGGAGGTATTTTCAGCAAGTCCTAGAAGAAATTTGAGATGGGGATCGATGAATTGTTAATGGTCGCATTGATGCCAGTTCTGAAAACACTATTGATTGCTGTGGTGGGCTTATTCCTTGCTGTGGATCATATTAGCATCTTGTCCGCAACTGCACGTCACCATTTGAATAATGTAAGCTGGATGATCTCTTGTTAAAGTTGAGTTATCTTTGATTTTCTTGAGGTGTCTGAGACGAAATTATTCCAATCATATATCAATCAGGAATTCTGAACAGATAAAGTGAGAACTAGGAAGGAAGAATTGCAATTGGCAGGGAATAAATAGAGAGCAAAGCAATTAAAATGGCTTTGGTTGGACAGTTGAATGAAATGACTTGTATAAATGCCAAGATAGTAGGATATAAAAACTTGCTATATTCGATATCTTTGTACTGCTGAGCAATCACGGGGAGAAGAGCTTCATTGGATATTTTCAGTCGTCAAGGTATACAGAGTAGCACCAGTTTTAAGGCTAATCCCTTGACTACTTCAAACAATAACTAAAATCTGCAATCCAATAAGCACTAATAAGAACATTTAGAAAAAAACCAAAAAAAAAAAAGTAATTAAACATTTCCAAAACCAAGCATAAAGGACTAATGAATTCCTGTATTTTGAGATTGAGCAGCTTGTGTACTACGTCTTCTTCCCATCACTTTTGGCCAGCAGCTTGGTTGATTCCATTTCAGCGGCCAACATAATTTCTTTGTAGGTTACCTGTTCATCCTTGACTAGTTTCCCTTGAATTCCATCTCTTCCTACATTCTACTGTTTCTTTCTTTAAGCTTTATGACTCATTCGCAGGTGGTTCACACCAGTGAGTATTCTCCTCACTTTTATTATTGGTTCAGCCCTTGGATGGATACTTGTCAGAATCACCAAAACTCCTCAACAGTTGCATGGCCTTGTCATTGGATCTTGTGCTGCGGGTACATGAACTATTTGATGAAACTTAAAATGGCTACTATCCTTGATTGAGTTGTTTTTCATCTCATCAAGCCTTAGAGATAAAGATTTAATTCACCCTGGACTCTCGTAACTCTTAGAGACATTTTGTAGGTAGACTCTAAACTGAAATTCTATATATATATTTCAGCCAGACAGCAAAACATGGAAGAGGTTTGATAGTTAATGATTCCATGCTCGTATCACTTAAAAGTCTCTAAAAGCAGAATTATGCAGTCACACAGCAGTTGCTACTGCTATATCTGGATAATGATCACTGTGAAATAATAGGAGGAAAACTTCATGACAAGATCAACTTGGATCCTGAAATTTAAAGGGATAAAGAAGAAGAGGTACAAAAATCTAAAGTCTTCACGATTGATTTAGATGATCTTGGTTCAACTGGTTTTATACAATCAAATATGAGAGACTTAACGAAAATGTACAATTTTCACTGCAAGGCACTTCTTTCTTTCTGGACTTTTGTCATATCTGGCAATGCTGATAGGCGTGTTTGTATGATAGCTGTCAGAAGATATCCAATGTAATGACGACTTTTGGAAACAATGTTATGACACCCTGAATTTCAAGCAGAGTTCCTTGACAGATTAATCTATGCAGGAAACATGGGGAATTTACCAGTTATTATCATCCCAGCAATCTGCGCAGAGAAGAATAACCCATTTGGAGATTCATTTTCCTGCTCTAGGAATGGAATGGCCTATGTATCACTCTCTATGTCGGTAATATGGAACTTTCATACCCAACTTCTAAATTACCTATAAGTTTGTGCCACACATTTAGATTCTTGAACTTCATGTATTGTTTCACTTGTGCTATTAATGTTTGTTATTATTTAAAAAAGACATCATATCTGAGCGGGTCATATGCCTAGAAGGCTTTTTTTTTTTGGCAGTGACCAGGAAAACCTTTCAGACAACTCAATGTTGCTTAAGGGGGAACTGTGCTTAAGTTGAAAAGTTTTCAGAATATATGTGGCTTCAGTTTTATCGGCATCCAGTTTTCATACTTTTTTGTTCTTTCAGATAGGGGCTGTTTTTGTTTGGTCTTATGTATACAACATTATACGTATATGTGGAACAGAGAGTGATGGTAACGTCCAAATAAGTTCCACAATTAGCAAAAACCAGTCTGCTGAAATAAATTCCTCAGACAGCTCCAGAGAAGAGTTGCTGTTAAAAGGTTGCCCTAGCTCCCAGGATTATCACGTTCAACCTACTTTTGTTCTCAAAAGATCTGAGGACGGAGTTAAGGTAATTCCTTTTCCCCCTTTCTGCCTACTTCGAAACATGAGCAGTTTGATCATTTCCTTTTCAAGTTCCTTAGTTTGTCCATGAAGCAGAATAAGTGATTAAGAAAACCATCACAATGTCACTTGGCGTATAACTTGGCTCTGATCAGAGAGCTGTTCTTTTTCACAACTCCTTGCTCAAATAAATCTGGCAACCAAACAAATATCTTCAGTGATTAATCGCTATGCTACATTTTAAAAGTCTGGACAAATACTACCATATTGTTGTGTCTGCATAGATATAAAACTATGTAATTTATGCCGATGGTGGAGAATGGCTCATACATTATTTTCCTAATACCTGTTAATGGCACTTGCTAATCTACTTAATCAGCTAACATTGTAGTATTGCAGAAATAAAAATTGTTTGACCAACAATATCAGAGTTATATCCTAGCAGTAGAGCACAGTTTTCAACCTTGTGATAAAATTGTTTCTGTTCTTTCTATGTTTCCGTTGAGCTGTTAAGCTTTAATAGCAAAGATTTACTGGATAACTGCAAGGTCATTTTGGTTCTTATCTTTATCAAATTTTTTTAGCAAACGTACCACTTTCCAAAAACACCAGAAAAAGAAAAACAAAAAAAGGAATCAAATTTCTTGCGGCCCAAAAGTCAGAGGAACAGTTTCATTGATTAGTCTTCATTTGATGTTGCATCATTACATTATTCATGTGGCATCAGTTGGGTTTCTTAAGCTGCCGATAACCAGATACGAAAAACCTTTCAAAACTATTTGCAGGTGCCATTCAAGCAGCATTTGAAAAGTTTGCTTGGAAAAATTGACCTAAGGATGTTGCTGACACCTCCTACTGTTGCAACGGTATGCTTCTGATGCTTGTTTTCTCATTTTAATCACTAGGTTTCTAGTGCTCACAAAATAACAGAGCCTTCTTTTTATCCTGGGAACTCAATATGATGGTAGATAATTTGACTATATACATGATATTCATGCATTTTAGCTAAGAACTGAGGTTCCTTTATGGCAACTCAAAGGACAAACATGAGGATGGGACTATAGCATTATCACATTTCAGATCATGAGCAGTTTTCTAAGCATTTTGCAACTAATTCGTTGAGTTTTCGAAGGAAAACTAACTGCCTGCTCCTGATTAGAAGAATAGAAATCACAATGGAATGTATATTGGATCCTTTTTTGGGTGTCACTATAATTCAATGAGTACATTATTGTTTTAATATTTGTCCTCGTCCATCCGAATTCAACTTCGTTTGAAAGTAAAGCGAAATAAACAGATGGAGGAAAGTTTTAATGTAACTTTTGATTTGATGGAACCTTGTGACCTCTCAAATACTGGCGTCTGCTTAGTACTTTTCATAGTTGTCCTTTCCTTGGATAGTTATGCATCTCATGAATAATTTGCTTG